AATGAGAATTTAACATTTTAATCCATCTTATGTAACCATGATTATTTTGAAACAGCACATTTACTATTCTTCTTAACATTTTTACCATGCTTCAAGAATTCTTCCTTGTTTTCTCCCCAAAAATGTTATTGCTCGGGAAACTGTTAAATAGGAGCTATTTTGGGGGGAAAAGTTGGCAATGATCTTTTATTGCATAGACATATTAAAGAGTGACAAAACAAAGTGCCTGCTATGTTGGCATTCATGATTTGGTACATATACAACATGACAATATATAAAATTCCCTTAGGAAGCAACAGATCCCTAAATTGATTAAATTTATGCATGTATTTTTATGGAATCAAAAATATGAGATATTTAAGAAGTCTCTTTTTCTCCTTTCAATGAAGGACTCTTTTGAGGAAGAGAAAGAAAAAGAGGAGGTTGCGGCTCTCAAAATCCAAGCAGCCTTCCGGGGACACATGGCCAGAGAGGAGGTAAAGAAAATGAAAGCAGATAATGCTCCCACAGAGTAAAACAAGTGAGGATACTGGTTTTACCCCCAGAAAACGTGAAAAAATAATCAAAATTCATCAACCTTGTTGTGGTTGTCATTTTTTTCCTTAGAAGGGAGATTTGATGTTGTGAAATAACATTTGTTGCTGTTGTGAAAATCTGTCACGAGCATTGTTTAATAAACATGCCATTGAAACGTACCACTTGAAGATTTCTCTGACATCGTAAGTCTTGTTTATACTTGTCCTAAGTCTATGTATAGAGACCCTTGGATTTAGTTACAGAACTGGACTATCTTGAGTTTACGGAGATCTCAGAGGTTATGTGGCCTAACCATTATCTAACGAATAAATTCCTCTCTATCAGATCCCTGAAAAATAGTTCTTTAGCTCCTGTTTCACTCCTAGTGATGGAGAATTTCAAGTATAGCCTATTTAATTTTTTAATTGTTAGTCAAAAGTCTGCTTCCTTGTAAATTTTACCCATTGGTTTCATTTGTCATACATGCATTCAATCATTTACTGGAAGTGTATTGAGCACCATTCATGTGCTGGGAATTAGTAGCGAATGTTCTTATACTCATGCAGCTTACAGCTTTTTATTGTCTTGCTCTCCAGAACCACACAGAATGATACTAATAACATCAATTTGAAGAAACATAAACTACTGTAACATCATTCTCTCTTCTTCAGCTAAGACTTCTCAGATTTTTTTAATATATAAATGGTGATACCTGTTTCACAAACTCAGAGGCTTTATCTCTTCTATTTTTTTATTTGAATGAACTATTCAAACCCCCAGTGCCTTATTTTTAGAAAATTCAGCTTCTCTTTTTTGAGGTCTCCCTGCCCTTGATTGTCCAAGAAATCGAGGGTTCATGTTTTAGACTAAAGGATACAATGTCCTTCTCAATACGAAGGGGAGAAATTGGAGTCTTACCATTTAATTAATGCTGTTGTCTTCTACCATAATGTTGTGGCATAGCCCAGTATACTGAGGTGATGCCCCAGCTAGTTCCAATTACTGCCTGCACCATAGTGGGTGCCCCATGATTTTGTTCTAGATGGTGCCCCATGATTTTGTTCTAGGATTACACTCTTCTTGGTTCATGGTCACACAGCCATTGTTCCCCAGAGCTCAAAAACAAGCCTGGGTGGCTCAGTCCTGAGGAGCTTCTAAAACCAGCTATATGTTATGTTTTAACAAGTGCTCTCCTATAAACACTTTGATCCTTGTCTTAGGCTCAGACATGGATCTGATTAGCATTCGTTTTCTAATCTACACTCACCTACAGGCAGCCTTCCTCCTTCCAAGGTTTTCCTGCCACTATATAGTTGCATACTAACTAAACACAAGTCTCTAATATGCACTGTTCCCGTTCCTCCCATCCTTAACTCCTCTGCTCCAGGCTTAGAAAGGAACAGAAATCAATTCTCTTCCAGGATTCCAGCTATTCATTCCCCTATTCCACTCAAAGTGCCAGCCTCCAACACCTTCCCTTCTCAAACAAAGCCATCCTGCTTAGGGGATTATCAAGGGGGACACCCAGAATTAATATGAAGAATTAGCTTCCCTGTCCTGGAGAGGAGACCAGAAGAGAAACAGGAGATTTTCCCCTAGTTTAGTAGATAGCAGGGGACAAAAAGGAAACCAGTTAGCTTTCTGAATAATGTTTTCTGTTACACATGTAAAGTGATTAACACTGTGCTTTCCATATAATCAGTTCACACACACACACACACACACACACACACACACACACACACACACATGAATCTAGTGGTGGTGATATTTGTCGTAAAGGAAGAAAAGGAAAAGGAGTAGGTGGAGAGCAATGGATGTGGTATTATAACAACACTTTTTTAGCACTTATCTGTTTTTCCTCTTACCTGTCTGGCTGCTCCTTCTCAATCTCCTTTACTCCAGTAACTCTTCAACTCCCCAACCACTAAATGCTAAGTGCCCCCAGGCTCAGTCGTTTGACCCCCTTTCTACACTCACTTGATCTCCTGCAGGTCTTTAAAAGTCATCTCCATACTGTTTACTCCCACACCTTTCTCCTCCTTACCTGCAAACTTGTATATTCAACTACCTACTTAACATCCTCATTTGTATGTCTATAGACGTCTCAAAAGTACCATGATATTGCCCGATATACTGATATTCCCCCCAAATCTTTAATTCCTCCAGTTTTCCCATTCAAAAATGTCTACTTCATTCTTCCATTTGCTCAAGCCAAAAAGTTAGAATTGATCTTTAGTTCTTCACTTTTTCTCATGCCCATATACAGTCTGTCAGCAAAACCTGTGGGCTCTACCTATGAAATATATCCAGAATCTGACCACTTCTCACCACTTCAATTGTTACCACCTTGGTCCTAGTTCCCATCAGCTCTCTCATGAATTATTGCAATAACCTCTATATTGGCCAGTCATTGCCACATTACCCTCCCAAAATCAGTGGTTTAAAACAATTATCTTTTCTCATGGGTCTGTGGGTCAATGACAATGAAACTGAGCTGGGCTGGACTCCAGCCTCAAGGTTAGGTTCAGGACTGCTCCAAGATGTAGGTTTGAGTTGACCGGGAAAGGTCTGCTTCAGGCTGTGAGCCCAAGGGTCAACTGCAGTGCTTCTGTTTCACCTGTCCTATTCTAAGCCCATGCTGAGAGATGCTATCCAGGACAAGCTCTTCTCATGCTGATTACAGAAACACAAGTAGGAAAACCCCATATGCAAGAATGTTTCAAGATTTTGCTCATACCACTTCCACTGACATCCCATTGACCAAAGAAAGTCATCCGACCAAGCCCAAAATGAAGAGGATGAGATAATACACTGCTCACCATGTGGCCATAGCAAAGTCCTCATGTATGCATAATACTACTACAGGGTGGTGAAGAATCAGGACCAGTGATTGAATCTACCACAGTCTGCTCTCTTGATTATAATTAATTCACATCCTTCCCCCATGCAACATAGACTCACTCCTATTCCTAGATCCCTAAAAGTTCCACCAAATCTTTGAAGTCCAGGATCTCATGATCTATATCAGGTTCAGATATAGTTCCTCTTGATATAGAGACCTATGAATTAAAATAGATCTTTCCTCCTGTTACCTCTGACCCCATATTGCTTGTTCACTTGGCTCTAGCGGCACTAGTCTCAAACCTGTTCCTGAGACATTCCAGGCATACTTCTACCTCAAGGATTTGGCACACATTCCTTCTGCCTGGAATGCTTTTCCCCCAAAATTGCCTCATTCCTTCAGGTCATTACTGAATGAGCAAAAGTCAGTGAGAACTTTCCTGAGCCACCCCCTCTATCTAAAATAGCTCAAAACAAACAAACAAAAAAAACCAGTACTTCTCTTTTTCCTTCTCTTCTTTATGTTTTTCCTTGGTTCTGAACGCCATCGAATATATCTTATTTACTAGCCTGCTTTCCCCAATAAAATATATGCTCCAGAAGCATAGAGATTTGCTATTTATTTCACTTTCTAGTTCCTTTTTTACATAGAACAGGAAGGAGTGAATTGTCTCTAGTGGCTCACAGAAGTTGGAGGAGCCTAGCAAATATCTCCTTCCATCTATTTAGGTTGTTAAATATGAAATGTCCAATACAATTTCTAATCAAAAATTTATTTTATTATGTCTCAAACAAGAAGCAGTACAATTAATCAAAGCATTCACCTAAAATATTTACACAGTTTTGCCATCTTAACAGTAGCTTGTTTATGCCAGCAGCGAAGAAGCCTGGAGAGTGAGTAGCGATGAAATTACCAAAGGGATTTTCCACAGCTTGTTGAGAATTGAATATTTTTCTTTGCAAGAAGTTGTCCAAAGCCTGCAAGAAGTAGTAATCAGTTGGTGCAAGGTCTGGTCAATACGGTGGATGACAGAGAGTTTCCAAGTCCAGCTGCTGTAGTTCAAGCAGCGTTGTTTGTGCAACGTGTGGTCCAGCATTGTCTTGCAAGAGGATTGGCCTGTCTCTATTGACCAGTCTCGGCTGCTTCATCACAAGCATTCTCATCATTTCATCCAACTGATGGCAGTAGACATCTGCTGTAATTGATTGACCAGGTTTCATGAAGCTGTCATGGATAATACCAGTCCTGGACCACCAAACAGACACCATTAGCTTTCTTGGATGAATATTCGGTTTTGGACTGTGTTTTGGCACTTCATTTTTATCCAATCATTGTGCCTAATGCTTGTGATTGTCAAAAAGAATCCATTTTTCATCACATGTAACAATACAGTGTAGAAATGGTTCACCTTTATGTTGTGACACCAAAGAAAGGCAAGCTTCAAGATGATTTCTCTTCTGATGCTTGTTTAATTCATGTCATACCCATCTATCCAGCTTCTTCTTTACCTTGCCCATTTGTTTCAAATGATCCAATATTGTTTGAATAGTAACATCAAACCTTGCTGCTAATTCATGTGTAGTTTGAGATGGATTCACTTCCACTACAGCTTTCAGCTCATCATTATCCACCTTGGTCTCAGATCTCCCGTATGGCTCATTTTCAAGATTAAAATCATCAGAATGTAACTTCTCAAACTGTCGACATACTGTGTGTTCATTAGCCACATCCTTCCCAAACACTTTATTGATATTTCAAGCTGTCTGCACTGCATTGATTCCACAGCAGAACTCATATTTGAAAATAACACGAATTTTTTCTTATCCATGGTTTCACAAAAATTGCTCTTAAAAAAAACTGAAAGATAATCACAAGCCAAAATGTGCATTTGAAAGAATGAGAATGTACTTTCACAATTAAAAAAAAAAATAGAAGTCTCAAAGTGAAATGTCAGAGATATCAACTATAAAACTTAATACTTAAGGAAATTGAACATTCCGTACTTAATAACCTAATAATTAGCTTTGATTGGGTTATACATCCATCCCTAAATCAGTCACTGAGGCCAAGGGAAAGGAATATGCTGATAGGTTTATGCCTATCACTACCAGAACTTGCCCACGGAGTAGGAGGTCAGTTCTGCCCAAAAAATCTGGCTGAAGGTTGAGTAAGTTTGAAGTCTCCAATAGGAAATAGAGTAATGTTGTCCCGAAGAAGGGTTAGTGGATGCTGGGCAAGCAACCAACAAATATCCACCACCGTACTTTAGTCACTACATGGCTTCTCACTAACACTGCACTAGTTAGTAAATTATTCATCAAAATGAAAGATTAGAGTAAATATCAAGAAAAAAAGGAAAAAACTAAAACAGCATGTGAGAGGTTAATAAGACACGAGAATGTGGAAATTTGGGTGGCCTGCCATATAAATTGCAATGCGAACGGTGCTTCATGGAATTGTGCAATGTAAACAGGGCAATCTCCCGAAAGAAAGAGCTTTGGAGTT